CCGAAGGCTCCTCTCCTTCATGCTGCAACGCGACACCGTACGCACCGTCGGAAAATTTCGAGAAGCGACAGGGACGATGGATTATCCGGCGCCGTCGCCGACATCTTAATCAGCATCACCGCGCGTTATCTCACGTTTGGGCGATACACGCACGTTCCGTTGTCATCGGACACTGAGTACTGAGAACAGCGGTTCCGTTATCGTCGGCAGTGATGCAATTGCAACGACGTTTCGCCATTGGCACACTGCGTCATCGTGCTTTGTACGTTTCTCAAAGTGCAGCGGATGCACTTTGGCACAGTTGGATTGGATGCTGACGACTTTGTATCTCTAATACATGCTCGCCGTGAATCGACCGGCGCAAAATAATCTAACGCTGATTACGGTCGAAGAAGTCCTCTCTCCCTCTCTCTTATCGGAGTCAGCCCTGATTTTTCGGTATGCAAAACAGTCGTGGCATACTGCACGACTTTTTATCTCGATCGAGTCTCATTGTTTAAAGTTTGTTACGGCAGGAAGAGAGAGAGAGAGAGAGAGAGAGAGAGAGGGGGAGAGAGAAAGAGAGAAAGAGCGGTCCCATGAGGACTAAGCTTATACGGGTATTATGGGCGTTTCGAGAATCCACTGTGTTTAGATCGACCTTATCTTTCGCGCGATTTGAAGCTTATATACTTCCGCTCGGTTACGCGCTCTGTGTCGATAATTATGGCCGACCGATATCAATTAATTCGGCCGTTTACGACTCGAGAGCGCATAATCGTTATCTTTCTACATAAATTGCTACGTCGACATCGTAGTCGTGCATGATAAACCGCTTGTAAAAAGAGCGATAAATAAAAATTGAATTACGGATTAATGTTGGCAATATCGCTACACTGTTATTATTGTATATCGTCATTATAGAGTCATTATATTTCATTCTTTTAATTTCCATTACATGATACATTTCATATCTAACGTTAATTATTCTCTATCAATTAACGCTTGATAATAAATGCTTGATAACAAATTACATTGTGTAGATAATTCATTATCGAAATTCATTTTGCCCTTTTTTGGACGGTCTGTGTTTTATTGAGCGTGCGCATTATATCTTATCAAAATGAGATAGTTAAATCGTTCGATAACAGCTCCCAGGGGAGAACTGTGGTCCCTGTATTTGACGTTTTTTGTCGGTTGCAGACGCCCACGAGACGCCCCTGTCCCGAGGGACACCGCCCTGCATATACGAGATATTCACTTAATTTTCGACTGTGTTCTCGTTAAACAACTACATAATTGTGGCCATAATTCTCGAACACATATTATTTTTTTTGTTATTACAAACATTACTATAAATAGAATCAAGTTTTTTGTATTGTCAATTTATTACGGGAATCAAAAGAATCTATGTATTTAACTAGATATAATATTAGATGAAAATATGTAGCACAATTATTAAGTCTTTTCAGATAATTTAAGAATTTAAGTCGTATAAATACATCAAAATTTTAGAATATTTTTAATTAAATTTGATTATTGTAATTAAATTATATAGATTGATATAATTTAGAATCATTAAAAAATTTTATATTATGATACAGCAATTATAAAACATATTATATTCATAATATCTGAGATTTGTTACATTCCGTTTTAGGGTTACAGTGTAAAGATTTGAAACGTTATATGTTATCGTAATTTGAAGATTGACTTCTTATTTTTTGGCTTTATTTCAGAGTACCTAATTACCTAATTAATAAAAAGAAATAGATTAGTTGCTGTTTTCTACTCAGTTAAAATTGTAATTACTCTTTAATTATTAAATATCACCGCTATTTGAATATTAAAATATCAATTCAATCTAAATATCGATTCTAGCAAATAAACCATCGGCAAAAAGTTATACATATATATGTATGAGACATTAAACGAGATGTGCTGCTCGAAAAGCATGAGAGTTTATTCGGAAAATCTCTTGTATGTCTTTATTAGATAATAAAAAGTCTGTCTGTTATTAAAGAATTTCTCGACCCTACATTCGATAAATCAGAATCAGTTTCGAGCTGAGTAAACATATTTCACTTTGTTGTGAAAAATCTATTGTGTTATGAAACTGTGTAAATACTTTTTTCTTGAAATAATATTTTTCTATAGTTTCATTATGAATGATTTATCAACTATAATAGAGATATCAGGATTTACCTTTTTTTGGCGATTAAACTTTTTTATAAATTAAGCTTAAATACTACTAGAAAAATTATTTATTCTCATAAAAACTGTAAAAAAAGATTATTTTTCTAAAAGTTTATTTTGTGTTGTTATTTTATCAACATTTTTTTCAATTTTATAGATTGAATCGGTAAAGATTTTATTTTAAAAAAATTCGATTTGTTATAAAAATTTGATGGTTGTATTGTTAAATCGCAGTATTATAAAATAAAAAAGATTTTTCTTTAAGTACTGATCTGTTATTTTTTAATAAATAAATGTTTTTACAATATTCCACATTAAATTATCTTCTTAAATGTGTAAAGAAACTATTGTAAAAATAAATTCGTTTATATTCATTGTCATAATTTGCAAACGATTTCCTGCATTTATACATATTTTTATACGTTCAAAGATTTCGTCTTCTCAATATTTTAAAATTTATCATTATTATCATCGTCCTCGGCTAATATGGACATAAAATCCATCGTCATCTATTAAACAAAATGTTTTCTACTAACATTAGCGCTTCTATAATATACCTATATTAATAGAAGCGTCAGCGAAGTGTCTTCATCGAAGGATGTATGGATCCGATCGATCCATGCGAATCGTGGGCGCATTTTCTCGTAAGGGAAGGAAGTGGGAAGCACTATTATGGCAGAACCAGTACACACATCATGTCACGGGGAACGTATCGAATTTCTTATGGCTTCTGTGTATTCCCATGGCAGGAGGTCAGAGATGCGTGCACGTCTACGAGGTGTTCGCGAATTAACGCTCGTCTCAAAGCGACTTCGAGGATCAAGAATGATGATTTATATCGATATCTAATTTCATCTAATATAATCGTCGAGTTTAACTTCAATTTTCGAGAATATAAAATCCATTTTCGCGTCTATATATATATCTATACATCAACGAAACTTGAATTCAATGACGTTCAATTCTATAATAAGAGGCGTACTTTATTAAATCATTTTCATTCAAATCGAATGCTTCGCGAAAATATAATAGATCCGTAAAAGAAACAAGCATGTTTATAATTTGCAAAAAGTTTGCGCAAATTAAATAGATCATCCTGAGATCGATACGAGAATTATTAATTCCAAAGTAAAATTCGTATCAAAGAATTTATGGTCACCCTATAAGCATCACTCATGACGATGAATCTTACAGACTTATCCGATGGCTTTACGGATACGTGTGTATGGCATCATTCGTCGCATATTAATTACAGGAAATCCCGCAAAGAACCTCTGCTTTTGTATCTCCCCAATATCACAGAAATACCTGTTCAACTATTCAATTGCATTCACGTATGATTTCGCAAACATTAACCTTCAATTTGTTATAATGAATTAAACTAAATCAATTCTTATAGCTCAAAATTGTTAGCATCTATACGCTGAAAAAAGAGATTTAATTGGAGCATTAATTGGAATTCTGGTTCAAAATGAAAAATTGTTCTCAATGTAATATTAAGCTTTGATTGTCTCTATCAATACTATACTTTAATTTATTACAATAACTATAGGCTGGTATTTATAATCGATTTTTATGTTTAAGACCGTCTTAGGTACAATCTTAAAATTTCACGAACCAATCAGAGGCCATTTTAGCATCTTAAGACAGTCTTGAAATAAGAACAGATTACGAATAACGTCCATAATTTGCTTTACAATTGAATGCTATTAGAAAGAGAAGCACAAACGAACGCTGATATTATTAAAAACAAATAAGAAATTTTATTAATGGAGACAAGAATGTAGTTTGCGATATATATCTATCTATGTAGAGGTTCCTCTTGCAATGGATTTATATCCGATTCAATTTATTAATCAGCCGACTGAGACAGAGAAACGTGGCACACTTTTGATCATCGCAATGACTCGTCATCATTTCGCCGCAACGCGACGCGACGTGCTAAGTTTCGCGGAAGAATTCGCGGGAGATTGGCTCTGTCAGTGTGGCCCAGATGGCCCAGCTGGTACTTATTTATTTATTATTCGCTCGTTCGCTCACTCGGCAAAGGAAAGGACGACCGCGTGTACGAATATGCATGCATGCGACACGACGCTCTCGCTACGCGGCGGAAGGCATCGCATTACGGACATAGTTATGGGGGCCTCCGCTCGTTTCTAAAATCGGATGTAGAGCAACGACCTTCCAAACAACACGGGACTCCTACGGGCTGATCACTTCTATCCGCGAGAGACGAAAATTCCACACTAACGTGGCCGTCAATTGTACATCTATATTGTACGGATGTAGAAATATCGTCGGATATTATTTACTTGACAAAGTATTTAATGAAACGGTTACGTTATATGAACTCTGTCGTTCGTCATTTATTAAATTTTAGGAATTACGTCAGTTTCGCATCTTGAGTCGTTAGCTATTAATGTCTTCTATTATATTTTGCATGATTTAATACATTTCTATTTCATTTACGTAATAAAATATTTCAACGGAGATAATTTAATATAATTTAGTATTAAGAAAATATAGAAGTATAATAAGAGAAAACTCGATCCTATTTCCGTTGACCCAATTTCCGTTGGCCCATAATATTTCTTCGGCATTGAGTCGCTCATTTTTTAACGTCTTAAAATCTTCACTTTTTCATTTTTTTTCGGATAGTTAAACTTTGATGTAGACCGTTGTATACTTCTGGCTGTTCTAGAAACTTTTTTCAGAATGAAAACACATTCCTTTCTAACTTTCAGTTCTATCGAGGCAAAAACCCAATGAGAATTAAATTCGTGTAATTAACTAAGCAGAAGGAGTCTCCACTGTCAAAGACTCACCTGTGCTCGGCGGCACGATCTCTCTGTCTCCTGTTTTTGAACCAATTACTGACTTGCGTGGTGGTAAGGCCGGTGCTCTCCGCCAATTCTCGCTTTTCGCGCGGCGACGGATACGGATTGTTGGCGTACCAATCCCTCAGGACGCTCCTGGACTTCTCTTTGAAGCAATAAGACGTCTCCTCGCCATCCCAGATTGTGCGCGGTAGCGGAAACTTACGACGCACCCGGTACTTTCCTGCAAAGAAAAAGACAAATCCCTCTATAAGTTGAGGATATTAATTTAACATTTTTTTTTTCAAAAAAAAAAAAAAAAAAAAACGTAATTTTAAAAGCGTCGCTATTACGGTACCGTCAGAAATGTTAGAATACCATCGCTAAAGTCTACCTGTACCTTTAAATACACATTTTGACGGCTCCAAGATAAACACACTTCGGTACTCTGGCGAGTGAAAATTTTCACCGCGAACGCGGATTCGCGACGCCGTGAAAAACGGAAGAGGAAGCAGCGACGTGTTACGGCACTCTGATTCTCTCAGCGCACACACAGAAGCACGCTTTGTTTCTAGCTTCTCCTTTTTGAAGACGGATTTGGTTTCTGGGCCGAGTGCAACGACGGCGACGTCGTCGGTTTCACGCGCGACGCGCGCCGCTTGCGAATTGAGCGGGTAAAATAGGGCCAAGTCTATATTGCTCATTAGCTGGATGCGATAATAACTTTGTCCGTTCTTTTGATCATTAATGTCAAAACCGTGCGTTTTGCGCATTGTTTATTTATAATTGTCGTACGTAATCCTCTAAACTCGAAAATAAATGCGACGCGGCACGTGTCGTATTAAAACGCGAGATTTTAATGCTGCGCTAGTATTGTTCAGATTTAATTTACAAAGTAATATCTTATATCGAGAATCGGATAAATTATTTAAAAATTACCATATGCAATGAGTTATAAATTTCAGAAATTTCTTTAAAAAAAAAGTTATATACTGACGATGACATTTTTGCAATATTTATACTTCATTTTAAAGTCTATATATGTATCTCGAGAATAATAATAAGGATCACATCTTGAGAATAATATATTAAGGATCATTAATTTAATGAGATGTGCGACATAGTTTCGTGTCCACTCGGATTTTCTAATTTTTAATGAAGAAAGTTAAACATTGTCGACAAAGCACTACTCCAACTACTTTCAACGGCTTCTTGTTTTATGTGAATGTTCTATGATAAATTAAATTTATTTATTTCCAGAGAGCAGTTATTTAGAGGCGCTAGATATATTAAACATACTATTTTTCTCTATGTTCTTCAATTATCTTTTCACTAATCAATATTGACTAATATTTAAGTAAGGATGAAATCATTCAAGTTATATTTCTTTTTCAAAACCTACAAAGATATTTTGCTAGACTTAATAATTGATACAAAAACGAGAGATACTTATTTAATAAAACAATTAAAATCAATAGAAAGTAGCAATTAACAGTTGCGTCATTAAGAAAAATATGATCGTTGAATTTGCACAGAAAAATAATCTCAACTTATCATTTTACTTACATGTATAATACAGGAAAAAAAAACTCGTTAAAAATTCTTACTAACCAACTGCGCCGAGGGGCCTTCCGCGCAGCCTCTCGGCTTCGATGTAGTGGGCCTTGAGCCAGAGAGCCTGCAACTTCGGATGATTGTTCGGGTTGAAGGTGTGGCTCTCCAGGATCCTGTAGAGCTCCTTAAATTGGCCCCGATGGAAGGCGACGATCGCCTTGGCCTTGAGCACGCTCTCGTGCCGGTGTAACCTGGTACATGCCGGTAGAGACCATAGAAATCGGCTGAGCCTCTCCACGGAGCCTGCCTGCTGGAGAACCTGGACATTCGACACCATCGCCTTGAAGACGATAGACAGGGGGGGCACACTGTTAGTCGGCAAAACTCATCCCGGGTCTCCTCTTATTCTAGTGTATCTTGTATATGTCTCATATTCACCTCTTTTAGCTGATCGTTTCGTTCAAGGAAGACGAGTTGGACAACTACTAGTGACTAACAGATTGGTCGGGACATTTTCGTGTAAAGGGGAACTATGAGAATTAGGATGAGAATGGAAGATTACAGTAATCGACTATTAAGGCTATTATAAATAATCTGTTTTTATGAAGAACCCGGGAAAAATTAATCTTAACAAGAAAAAATTATATTTATAATACAATAGATCGGTTCTCTTGTATTTACAATTTTCAAATCGAGAAAATTAATTTAATTTTCTTCAGTTTTTAACAAAGTATATACAAGCTATTGTTACATTTAATTTAATTATTCACAAAGTGCAAGTAAAAAATTATAAAAGGACATAAAATAGAATGCTATGACAAATAAAATTAAATGAAGGAGCTAAAAAATATTTACAAAGTCAAACAATGTGTGCGTGTGTACGTGTGTGCGTGTGTGCGTGCGTGCGTGTGTGTATGTGTGTGTGTGTATGATTCGAATTAATTATTGATTGAATCGTTTAGATACGATTTTTAAATGGAGAAACGTTAACTTTTATAAAAACTAATTTGAATGAGTACAAAAGTCTCTCAATTACTATTACTTTATCAGAACTCTTTTAAGAAAAACGAATTGACGCAGCTTTAAATAAAACTGATTTGTATTTGAAATTTTTTCTCTGTTCTTTATAATAAAAATATATTATAATAACTATTTAAGTTAAATCTTGGATAACTCTGTGTATTCATATAACATTTTTGACAAAAAATTAGTGTAGAGATCTATTATTTGTTACACGCCCGATTATCTCTTTTTCCCTTGATAAAACCAGTATCTGTTTAAAATCGTATCAATAAAGAAGATGAAAAATTAGTCTTGACTTTGTGAATATTCTCTTAAGAAAGTTATTAAATCTTAAAAAAAAAAAGAAATTTTTGGATTATAAAATCTAATTAAAATTTGTAAAATACTGGATGAGATTAAATATTACATGGGAATAAGGTTTCAGAAATTTGAAGAGGAATGATTCAGGATGTACCTTCTATACCGATATATTAACGAATTTCAATTAATTAAATTTTTGCGAGCAAGCAGAAATGAGTCTCGTGTCTTGGAACGATTAAAATAGTCTAATACACGATTTCGCGAATTTCTTGAAATATTTCAAATATTTTACAACAGTCGGTGGTCCCTTATGTCAAGGAATATTAGAATCTATAATCATAAGAAAGAATTCTATTTATTCAATTTGTGTATTTCCATTAGAAATATGAACATATCACGCAATGATGGCGAAGCTGCGAAATCGCGAAAATTTTGATAATAAAATAATCAAATTAAAATATGAAAATTCATAGAACTGTTTAGCATAGTTTTAATAAATAATATAGTTTTAATAAAATATCATTTGAGATGGAGAGAAAATCTGATAATTACTAATATATAAAATTACACTCGACATATCTGTGACGTTTAACATTCGTATAATTTCTCGAAATGACCGTTAATGAACTTAAACGATCGCGTAACACGATCCTAAGTGGAACTATACATCAATTTTATTTCGTCATATACTTCAGTTCGTTTTATCGGTACGAAACATGTTATCCCTTGCGTGTTTCTCTCGTTGATATAATTAACCACCGAGGATTCCGTTTGAGAAATGAGCTATCTATAATATTTGCCGGTATCCGCATATGTCTGCTGCTTTGCATCACTGACATTTACTCGATATATCACGCGCCATATATTACCAGTCTAGATATCACCGTATTATGTATCTTTAATTTACACATAACTGATTTGCTAAAAGCACGGTACTATTTGTAAAATCGATACATGCAAACTTTATTGCAATATAAAATTTATGTACTTGTAAATAGGCGTTTGACTCTAATTGTCACTTTCTTGATATAAGCACAAATGCAAAGAATATTAGGACTATACTTATTTTTATATCTTCTTTCCTACATTTTTCAATAGTTATAGTAATTTCAAATTCAAAATTTCATATTAATTTAAATTCATGAATCTTATATATGTTCGAAGAAAATTAATATCGCAGAGAGAGAGAATCTCTCGAAATTTCCTTTTAGCGTACAAAATTAATTGCTGCGAAAGTACCGGCACGAAATTAAGACGTTGCCGATCGTATGAGAACGAGTGTCTGATGATCGCTTAATTAGCAATATGAGCTCTGTACACCTGTCATCTTTGTCTGCTCGCTGTCGTCGCCGGATGTCGCCGAATTTTCCGCAATATGGCCGATTAATCTTGCCGCGTGGCATAATGAGGAATGAATGTTATGTCACCCAAACGAAGAGAAATGTACGACATAGATCTCAAGATCGGATTAACTGTCAACGATGGAGATGCTGATTAGAAAGATCACCGCTATATGAATTAATCTTTCTTCTCTTTTAGAACTTAACACAATATAAAAAAAGAAGACAAAATTTAAGAAAATTTTTTCACTTTCTCCATTTTTTGAAGTTTAATGAATAGTAATAATAAATTAAATCTTATCATCAACGGACGATAATTATATTTAAATCTTCAATATGTAATCTAAAAAATGCATATATAACATAATTAATAATTTTATTCAATGATCGATGTAGACATTAAAGTTAAAATTAAAATTAAAAATGACTGAATCTGAAATTATAGTATAATTCAATTTGGACTAAGCTGTTAAACTGGGATTGAAAGTCGATGTTCTAGAATAATTTAATCAGATTTAGGAAGAAATCATTCAGTCTTATCATTTCTCCTTTCCTCGAGTGCAGGAACGATTTCATTGCGATTCGACAAGAAATGGATCGGCCGACACCCGGTGAAACGTCGATTTCGTTTATGCTTTGAAAAGGGAACTATCATGGGCACCTCGAATGATACAAGACAACTAGCGCCCACGTGTCACAGCGTATGGCAACAATATATCACAATATTTTTAAACAAATCGATACGCGATAGCGACTCCAATGTCGCGGATCATTCATGCATAAGCCGTAGGGCCTTTAGCGTTCTTCAAAGTCCAATCGCAGAATTTGAGTGCCATAATTGTCTGTGCGACGTGGGCAAGGAGTTAAAGTCTAGCCGCATAATTATAGCTCTGGTACAGGGGTATGCACGTGCAAGAACGCGTCGTGCAACGATGCAATCTGCGGCCGATCACTTCCGCATTTGGCAAACCCATCTTTTCGCATACTCGTTATCTTATATGCGCTACAACCGCCACGATTCAATCGTTCATGAATATTTTCATCATCTACGTCGTAAAGTATAGAAATTAACTCTTAATATTCACGTGGCGGGTACACCTACGCGCGATGCGAAATGAAGAAAATTAAATAGACAACGCAGCAACACAAAAATTTAGAAGGCATCATCCAAGGGAAATCGAAAGACTAGAGACGTATTTTTAATATATTTCGATATTTACGTCACTTGGACTAAAAAGCGTATATCGCAACTAATCTTTTTTGCGATACATTATATTTTTATAATAATCTCGTATCTATTTTCTCGTCTGCAATATATAAATATTTTATATTTCTCGATTTAAACAATCCAAACATTTACGAACTAATGTATTGGTTGATTCGTTTAAGCAAATATTTACTTTACTGTTGTTTACTTATTTTAATTTTCAGTCTTGATAAAAATAATACGTCAAATGAATCGTTTGTCAATTAAATTCGAGACTGCATGCCAAGTGCAACTCTCGATGAGAGTACAGTAAAAGAATCATTGAAAATTTTGCCAAAATGCGGAAAGGATCGCCTATTTTTCATTTTCTCTCTCTCTCTCTCGCTCTTTCTCTAGAAAAGGACGAGTTAACATGTGGGACGTTCGATATGAGGGACGTAAACGTCGCACGCAAAACAATTTACGGTTACAGTAAAATCGTGCAGATTCTATTAAGCGTGTGACATGCAAGCGAATCTTGGCGCATAACGCTGCACATTGTCGGCGACGTAACAACCGTCGTCGCGGCAGCAATTTCATCATCGGGAATCCACGTAGATCCTCGCTATTTCCACACTTTACAACGACAATCAACACGATGATGGTTGGATTTTGTGTTATGCAGTAGCAGATCGAAAAGAAGCAATTTATTCCAATTTGCGACATTTAAATAAACTTGCACGCGACATGAGATTATCGTGATGTTTATCGCGATTAATGATAGAATCTAACGATGTCATATTTCGACGAGATAAAAATCGACCGGTATTATTCGCCGAGGAAAGTGCAGCGATTGCTAGCCAGTCATCAGCGGCTCATTGTTATAAGCTGTGCGTCGCGAATATTGCGCGTAGATTTCTGGCAATCCTATATTCTTGTTCATAGGTCGCATATGATAAAATTTTCAGAGCAATGCTGTTTTCTATTTCTTGAAGCGCGAGTAAAGTTCGGTGCAAAACGATTGACGACAATGGCTGCGTTCAGTAGAGAAAACTAATCAGTTTTGCGCTTAGTGATTCTTCAATACGATTGGTTTCTACATTTAGATTTAGCGAAGAACTAAAGGCAAAAATCAATCATATTAAAGAATCACTAAGCGCTAACTGATTAATTTTTTCTGCTGAATGAGTCATCGAGTTGCATGAAGATCAATCGTACTATATAATTATCGCGATTGAATGTAACATTTGCAACTGCGAAAAATGTTTATATCTACGTCTAGATTTTAATTGACATGTGAATGGATTACACGCTTACTGTAAACGCGACGCATAGCATTACAACAACTGAATGCAGCAGGCGCGTGTTATGCAGCTAGAGATCATCTAATAAGAGTCACGAAACAACATTGAATTTTTACATTAAACGAGTAACATTTCAGTGATGTTCACAGAAAGTCATCTTGATTTATCAGACGTTTTTTTGAAAAAAAAACTAATGTTTTTATTATATAAATTTGTTGGAATCAATCTAATTATCAAGTAGATACAAATAATAATTAAGATTCAATTAAAACGCTTTTAACTGCAAATTTCTCGATGCAGCAATTATAACATGACTTATGCGTTAACATAAAGTTACGTATTGTTATACTGAGAAAAATGTTCTGATTCAAATGAACAAAGGCTCAACAGAGAATGGCATTTGATGAAATTAAACAAAATTTCTGATTATAACTGACTAGAAATTCTGTTTGGTCTCATCAAATACTATTCTTATTAGACTCTTTTGTTGGTTTAATTAAAACATTTTTTCAGTACATAGGATTGTGCATAAATCGAGTTATGACCGTTGCTACGCCAAAAAAAGAAATCTCACAAAATATTAAACTTTTGTTGTTTCTTTTTCAGTTTATAAAGTATTCACGGCTAAACATTGAGCGAATTCAAGCTGGCAAAGCGATTAGATATGCTTGCCGAGCGAATAAGCATGATTGGTTCTTACTTGTGGATCCAACCAATCATGTTTAATTGCTCGGCGAGCAGACTTAGCCGCTTTATCATCTTGAACTTGCCCATTATTAATAATTTGAGAATCAAAGCTATCACTTGTACTCGAACACAATTACAAATATGAAAGATAAGCGCTCAGTTACAAATCCCAAAGGTTAATGGGCTATCTGTAGGTTCCTCTCATTTAGTGACACAAATGTTCTATTTTTCTTTGTATTCCATGAGTAACGAAGATATAACAATACTCATGTCGATTTATGTTACCAAATGAAAGGCATTCAGTAATAATCCACTACTTGAGCTTTAAGTCTTAAGCCGGAATAAATTGATCAATCGAACAATGTGAGAAGATTAACCAACTACGATCGATCAATTTCTTATGATTTAAAACTTAAAAAGCTTAGGTGTCAGTGTTGAAGAAATCAGCCTTTTGCTTTCTCCCTCTTCTCTCCATTTCTTTCTCTTTAAACCTTTTGCCCCGTCACACTCATTTACTCAATTACCTTCCTTGCGTGTTACTCAGTACGTTTTCGTGTCTCTTATCGGAGGAGCTCCATGAAACAGGCGATCACACGACTTACCTCGCAGACACACGCCACTTGATCCTGCGTGAAACCGAAACTCGGCAGCTGGCCGTTACCGCTGCCCCCGGCAGAGCTCGCCGGGCTATCCTGGGGGCTGTAGCTGGCCGCCCCGGTCGCGCCGGGCGTGTAAGCATTCTCCACCGTGCCGGCCGTCGTCGAGTGTCCGGTCAAGGGTGTGGGGGTGCTCTGAGGGCTGTAGTCGCCGGCAGCGGTACCCAGGACGTCCGCACTACCACCGCCGCCGCCGCCGCCGCCGCCGCCGCCGGACGTCGGGCCCATCGCGCCCCCGTTACCAGCGGTGCCCCCGTAGGCCATCATGGCTGCGTCATCTCCGGGGTCCACGACGACCCCCCGCACGGTACCGCCGCCCTCCACCGTTGTGACACGATCGTCCTACCCGCTTCGCGTTCGCGATAAACCGCGTCGCCGCTCTCCGATCCGACGCTACGCGAAAGAAAGCTACCCCTCACTCGCCGCTCATTTTTTACGGGATAAACCCTTCGCGGGATCACTGCGGATCCTTGGAACGTTCTACTGAGAGCATCGCGTCCAACGACGCGATTCAAAATCCTTGATGCGCAACGTCGCCCGGGGGAAGCGGCTTGATTCGATATGGAGTCTCGTAAGTTTAGATTGATTATAAAAGCTCCCTTTTTTAATTAAAAAAAGTTCTATGATTATAGTCTAAAAAGACACGGCGAGCCGCCGACTTACATTAGACTAAACCACTTCAAGTTAGTCCTATAACTGACTTGTGCACGTGTCAAAGGATGACAAGTAACAAAAGTCCGCGTAAGGCAATAATAAAGACGCCTAATTTAAATATCGACGGTAGTTCGATGGCACACCTATTGCCATAATTGTCCGTCAAAATTCATCACCAGTTTAACTAATGCTGACTTTTAATTACCGCTAAACGCGGAATGTATCTTTCTCTTTCCTACGTGCACTTGATCTTCCTCACGAAACGTCAACTGTTCGTGTAACGTTATCTGTCATAGTCATTGATTAAACCATGTTCCATTAATTTAAACAATTGGGTATGTAAATTCGTTGCACTATGTTACGTGAAGCTTGAAGCAAGAAAACACTGTGAAGCTCCTTTACATTCCGTTTGACGAACTGTCGACGATCGTGCTGGGATGAGTGTACGCCTTTCCAAGGCATCACTCATCGATCAGCAACGTTGCGCTTGGATGTTCGTTCGACAGATTGATCTGATTGGTCTCATTCGATCGAGGATCACGCGAAGATCCTCGCGAGTAGCGCGCGATATTTTCAACTCTCACCAGCCGACATCGGCGAACATCGCAGCCGGAAGCGGAAAAAAAAATTCTACGAAACGAGATTCTTTTCAGTCTTGTGATCGCAGCTTCGAGCCGACGATCAGTTCATAGATCGAAGTCGCGAATTCTTACTTTTTTTCTGGACTTCACGCTGGTCTGCGATCTAGCGTTAATCACGTTTCAAAAAGTAAAAAAATGGCTATTTCCAACAATGCTGTAATCTCTTCGGATATCTTCTTTCGAACTTCAATCGGGTTTTTGCTCCTGCGAGCAAAGTAATCCGAGGGTGAGACCGCAGATTCCAAGTGAAAGATCAAATCACTCCAGGCGATGATCTTCAATTCGTTTCTCGCCAGTCGTTTTGGTACGATCGGCTTACAACCATTCATGGAAATACTCGTGGAACTCGCACAGTCATTATATCATTCCCGTTCGAGAAACGTCGTTCCGTCAAATTGATACGCGACAGAGATTTATCCATCCGTCCATCCGCGAATCTCACCGACTCGCTGTTCTTTCTTCCTGTCTCGCTCTTACTGCCCACACACAGGTTGCACCGTGAAATCTACGGGCTCGTGTTTCCACGGGGCCAGCGATCGTATTTATAGACTGCTTGGTACACTCGCGAGCGTGCTGCTATTATTAGAGGCGCCTTAAAGAGCGTCTCTCTCGCTCTCCTTGAACCCCATCGACGCCTCTCGTCGTGACGCTCTCTCCATGAAAATGTCACCAAACTGCTCTTTCACCTTCAAATTTCCTTCTCGAAACACCACTTGATTGACAATTTAATGGCGCCTCTCTCTGTACGCAGAATAAATGCGATGCTTTTTTTCACTCTTCCTAACGAAGTATTGGGGCGATAATCCTTGGCTATTGCATTTTCACGTTCTTGCTATATCGTGCGTCCGAAGAACTAACAAGAATCGGTACTGATTGATTGATACTGAGTGTATTAAATGACCTCTGGTGCAAGCTAAGAATCTGATCTTCGACTGCGGTGGTCTCTCAGCATTATGCCTTTGCGAAGAACGGGTGTGCCCGGAAAATTCCACCCGGGCGATTTCTTCGGTCGATTCACTCGGTTAACCCGTCGTCGTTTCCAGCGAGATACTTATCACCAAAGAAACAACACCGAATGCGCTAGGAAGAACCGGAGTACCGCGGCTCTCCGGTGAGAGTCCGTACGAATTCACTTCCGATTTTCACACCGCACCGGATCCGTCTCTCAACAGTGATTCCAATTCGGCGATCTTGATCTAAATCACGTCTGGACAAGCAGACCTCGCGAGGCAGCGGATCAATGAGGCCGTTCTGTCTCTCTCGCTGCCGCGCGAGAGAGAAACACTCCTCACGCGCGCATCAGAAGGGACTGGCGACGCGGCGTGCTAGCGAGGCAAGCCGAGTGCGTCATGCGCGACGCGGTACGGATTGGTAAGGGGCGTGGCCAAGATGACAGCTGTGTGACGCGTGACGCTATTGGCCGCTGGGCATGGCCACAGCCACCATACCGCCGCGTCATTGGTCGCGTGCGCGCCACCAAATGAGCCTCGTTACGAACGTCCGGCACGAGCGATGAGAAAGAGAGAAAGAGAAAGGGAAGGAGAAACGGAGAGGGGAGGAGGAGCGAGTGAGAGAGAGAGAGAGAGAGAGAGAGAGAGAGAGAAGGGCAGAGAGAGAGGACACGGGAGCGAATTGCATCTAGACTGCAGATCCTTCCGAGGAGCTCGTTAAATTCCAGCCTTTTCTGGATGTCTGTTCTCTTAATGACGCACGCACGGCGGGACAACGCGATTTTTACGTCGATGCGTGGCACGAATGTTATCCACATGTAAATCTCGAAATCACGCACAGGTATACATATAGAACAGTTCCTCGTCAATTATTTACTTTTTTGTCGGACAGTCTCGAATGGATTGTAAAAAGGACGCCAAAAATGTATATGTAGATTGAAGAACGAAAGCAGGACGAGAAAGCACATATTGCTGTTATTGCTACAGATTAACGTTTCTTCTCTCGCGCATCGATTAATAGAGATTATTATTACAGATTTGTTATAGAGCTGAATCGCACATACACATATATTAAACGCGATCAACTGACGAAGTGTAATGTAGTAATATATCGTATATAAAAAGAAAGAACGATTTTGCTAAAGTGCTATAGTTAAAAAATTTAACTAGATACGCACAGATGTGAATTAAAATAAATTTGTTGGATTATCATAGCTGAATCATCAAAATAATTACGTATTAGAGAATGTTGATTGCCAGAATGTTAAAACTTCTTACAGTACAATTGCACACTATATAATATTGAATGTCTGTAACATAATTATTTTGATATCCAACACAATTATTTTCAGATCTGTATCTAACTGAATTTTAAGATACTTCAGCATCATTCTTTTCGTATAGACAAGCGATTTAGAATAAAGCAGATTACGAAATTTGTCGCAGCATCGCGAGAAATCTGTAAGTTCAAAATTCAAATTCGTCATTTAGCGAATTTATTTATACATACTGTTCGCGAGATAAATAATGTCGGCACGCGCACGGAAAGAACGATTTTGCGAAAGTATTAAAAAATGTATATAGATTAATTAGATACAGGTCTGAAAATAATTTTGTTGGATCATCAAAATATAATTATGTAGAGAACTCTAGCATGATGAGAGCAATGCTGAAAAAAATTTTTCTCAAGCAATCAATTATTTTGATAGCCCAACAAAATTTATTTTCAGTTCTGTAACAAGCTGAATTTTTAAATACTTCAGCAAAACTGTTTTTTCCATGCGACAACACAATCATTTGTGACGTTATCATGCTATCAGAGTCACTCTGATAGCATAATTTGAACAAGCTATAATAAGAATGAAAATGCTGTGGTATGGCATTATATTATTCATGATGGAAGTGAATTACGAGGAAAAGCGACGCGTAGGAAAATAAATGAAGGAAGCACTAAAGATCTCGTTTATTAGACGACTTATTAGCGGTGCTCATGGGGGAAAGGATAGGCGAAAAGAGTGAGAGAGGGAGGGACGCGCGAGTGGCAGTAACGACTTATCCTTCCCGGGGGAAAAATCGATTTATGGTACTCGCGGAGTTTATGAACGCCTCCGCGGAAGAAAGGTAATGTCGCTTAGAAGCTACTTACAACAGAAGTTGGATAAAGTTTCACGAACGCTCGCCCGTGTTTTTGCGTTACTTAAGGCACCGCGCGCTCGGGCTAGAATAACACACGGTCGCACACGGTCCGCCGCTACAGCGAAATCGCCGACACAAACGTCCGATGGAAGAAAGCAGTGATGGCGAAGTCGGTGATACATCACGTCGTTATGTCGAGTGTTTGCACTGTTTGCGGTGCCTTTTGAGGAAAAAAATCAAAGGAAAACGCGAATACAAGATAGACTACTAATTTTTGAATTTAAAAAAAAAAATAAGTTTGCCTGCAAAAACAAACAACTGGAATTTGGATCGAAGTAATCTTCACTTTCTACATTATTTTCTTAACTAATTGACATAATAAATTGATCGAATAAAAATTTTATATTTCTTTTGCACCGATTTTCATTAATCCCTTATAGAAACAAATTAGTTATGGCATCATAGATTATAAAAATAAATTCAAAATAAAAAGTAAAATAGAAATAATTACAGAGAAATTAACACATTCGCAGTCGCTAACACAGTAGTACATCTTTTTATAAAATATAATTGATTACCGCGTTGATGTAATAATACATCTTTTTAAAATTTTAGACTAGATGTTGATGTAGTAATACGTATTTTAAATTTTAAGTTTATTAATCAAAATAAGTTATTTAAATAGAATTGTAGCTGTTGATAAAAAAATTAAATGAATTTGTTTTCAAAATGTATTTTAGCATAAAATATAAAAAATTAAAATAAATCATCTTGTGATTCAAAAGCGTTTTAAGTAATACATATATGAAAAAATATTTCATTTGCAGGATTTCTTTATACAAAGGTAACTATTTTTTAAAATATCATACAAAAAAGAAATATTAAGTTGTATTTTTCTGTAAAAGTATAAATCTTTTCTTA